CAACCCTCTGGAAGGGAATATATCCATATCTTTAAATTTTTTTTACTTCTTTTTAAAGTTGTCTTACTTTTTTACTGTAAAATGTGATCAGTGGATGTTGGCTTGAACCTCCATCATCACTTGTGTTGAATGACCCACATATGGGCTTAAACTCTGCTTTAATACAACAACATTATCCAATACATATATATATTTTTAACACATTGGCTGTTTCACCGAGGCAGGGCGACCCGAAAAAGAAGAAACACTTTCATCATCACTCATTCCATCACTGTCTTGCCAGAAACGTGCCAATTCTTGCAGTTCAAAAACTGCAACATATCTCTACCCCTCCTTCAAAGTGCAGGCACTGTACATCCCATATCCAGGACTCGAGTCTGGCTAACCGGTTTCCCCCGAATCCCTTCATAAATGTTACCTTGCTCATACTCCATATGCCTGCATTAATCTTCAGGTTGGACTTCAGTTTCCTGATGAATTGTTGGGAGATGCTGCTACAGTGTGTGGTGTGATGAAGTTACAACTGGGTTCGATGTTTACATTCTTGGAGACACATCGTACGGCAGGTGGGTCAGAGTGCTAAGTGTGGCATGGGATGTACTGTAGTATGAAAGGATGTTAATTTTATACACCTTAAAGCTTCACTACAGGACCTGTCATCTTACTTACTAAATAACAAAAAAGGCACAATACCGTGACTGGAACGATACACAAATAACCCACAGATAAAGAGAGAAGCTTACGACGACGTTTCGGTCCGACTTGGACCGACTTTGTCAATGGTCCAAGTGGACCGAAACGTCGTCGTAAGCTTCTCTCTTTTATGTGTGGGTTATTTTGTGTATCTTACTTACTCCTTGACCTGTCTTCCCATACACTGACCTGACACCTGTCATTTCACTCACTTTTTGACCTGTCCTCCTACATGCTGACCTGACACCTGCCATCTTACTCATTTCTTGACCTGTCCTCCCATGCACTGACCTGACACCTGTTATCTTACTCCTTGACCTGTCCTCCCATGCACTGACCTGACACCTGTTATCTTACTCCTTGACCTGTCCTCCCATGCACTGACATGACACCTGTCATCTCACTCATTCCTTGACCTGTTCTTCCATGCACTGACCTGACAATCCTTATTTCCCTGGACAGTGTGAGGTGCAGCCTTACCTATAAATTCATGTTCTTTCATTTGTGTATCTGCTGAAGAGAACTCCAGAAGGGGGTCAGAATATACAGATCGATTAATATTCTGAGTTTCTGTCTCCATGTGGGTTATTATTCAACATTTGTTCAGTAAATGAATAGTGTTCTGTATCTTAAATCCCTATCAAAAATTAGTCACAACAGTCAATGTTTCATCATATATGTGATGTAATAACATACTATAATTACATACTTCTCCATAGGGAAGTGGAAAAGAAGTCTTTCTCATTAAACCATGCTTGTCATAAGAGGTGACTAAAATGCTGGGAACAAGGGGCTAGTAACACCTTGTGTATACATTACTAAAGTTAAAAAAAAAAACTTTTGTTTTTCTTTTTGGGTCACCTTACCTTGGTGGGATATGGCTGGTTTCTTGAATAAAAAACTATAAACCTATAGCAGTAACTGTGAACACTTTTCACTTAATCTCTGGGGGCCCTTCAGCTGGTAGAGGACCCTGGGCTGCAGCCCAGGGTCCTCCACAGCCTTAATCTGATCCTGTATACAGTGGAGTGTTTTTTCTGTATACAGTATTTTTAACATCATTCTAAGTTAACAGATGCTCTGATAATCCCAATTATATTGAGAGTTTTGTATACAATGTTTAATGTTGAAAACCACATTTACAAAATAATGTTAAGTGGGCGAGAGAAAGATTATTATCAGTATTATCCACAATGTAAGGAATTTCCTACACGTTTACAGTTCAGTTTTTGGGAACATAATTGTTTCATTTAAAAGGCTTAATGGCATTTAAATTTCAAAATATAAACAAACAAACAAAAAACATTTTATTTCTTTGTGCAGTATACAGTAGTTTACATGTAATAAAATATTGTTAAGCACAAAATAAAGGCACTAACATGGAGTATATTTCAGACAGAGAAGCATGTGTTTCCTTCCCTGGGTCACCTACCATGGTGGGGTCGTTGCACTTGTTATAGAATTAAAGCATTAAAATTTTTAACATACTGGCCATCTCCCACCAATATATAATTACTAATATAATTAGGGTCACTGTATCTCAATGGGGGACGGCCAGTGTGCTAAAAAAAAAATGAAATTTTTATAATTCTTGAATGCCTGTTCTGGCAAATCCAACCATAAATATGATAACTACAATGAATAAGAATGCTAAAGTTTATATTTAAGAGTGACAGTACGATCATCAAATTTAATTTTTTTATTTTTTTGAGCAGTATACAGGAATGTAGTTTACATGAAATAAAATACATGTATTGTTAGGCACAAAAGAAAGCCACTGGCATGCGGTGCATTTTAGGGAGACTAATACTAATGGTTAAAGACTACTTAAGAAACTAGATATAGATTATTTAGTAGGAGTATTTAAAGGTACAAAAAAAAAGAGGGGGTTTAAATGAACGAGAGTACAATTTTAAAAAGTACCATCATTTTCCAGCACTTAAGGTGCATTAGTGTTGGTTTGCTTGTAACATAACATTAGTAAACAACCTCTAAAGCGTAACCCAAAACCCACCCTTGACCCTGACCTTGAACATATAAGGCATAGGCTAAATTTTCCAAGACTTTTTTTTGGGGGGAAAAAGCATGCCTTATATGCTTTAAAATGTGGTATGCATTAGTACTTCAAACTGATTCAGTGATCTTCAGTTAAGTAGGATTTCTTCAGCAATTAACTCTAGAACATATGAACATAAGGAAGAAGGAACACTGCAACAGGCCTCCTGGCCTATGTGAGGCAGGTCCAATTCTCCCACCAGCTTAAGCTCACTGACCGTCTGACCTCACTGACCGTCTGACCTCACTGACCTAGTGAGGTCAGACGCATCACTTAAGGGAGCAGCATAGGCATTCGACCTAGTAGCACAAGCTAGTTACGTCCAACTCACACCCACCCGCACACACTCATGTATTCATCCAACCTGTTTTTAAAACTACACAACGTCTTAGCTTCTAAGACAGTTCTCGGGAGTTTGTTCCACTCATCCACAATTCTGTTACCAAACCAGTGCTTTCCTATATCCTTCCTGAATCTGAATTTTTCCAATTTAAAATCATTGCTGCGAGTCCTGTTTATATTAGATATTTTTAGCATGCTATTTACATCCCCTTTATTAATTCCTGTTTTCCATTTATTCACCTCAATCATATCCCCCCCTAATTCTACGCCTTTCTAGAGAGTGCAGATTCAGGGCCCTCAGTCTATCCTCATAGGGAAGATTTCTGATACATGGGATCAACTTTGTCATCCTCCTTTGTATGTTTTCCAGTGCATTTATATCCATTCTGTAATACGGTGACCAAAACTGCGCAGCATAATCTAAATGGGGCCTAACCAAAAGATATATAGAGTTGAAGAACAACCCGATTACTTTTTTATTTATACTTCTTGTTTATAAAAGTCAAGGTTTTGGGTTTGGCTTTACTGCAAACATTTATGCACTGTTGTCTTGGTTTCAGATTACTGTAACCAGAACTCCAAAAATCCTTTTTGCAATCTGTAATATTAAGATCTACGTACATTATTTAGTTTATATGTGGTATGGTTATTTTCCTGTTCAACATTTAGAGCTTTGGATTTCTCTATATTAAACTGAACCTGCCACTTCTCCGACCACTGCATCAGTCTATTCAAATCATCCTAGAGTGCTCTAATGTCTTCATTAAAATGAACTGGACAGTTTATTGTCGTGTCATCAGCAATTTTGCTTATGTCGCTTTTTATTCCCTCATCTATGTCGTTTATGTAAATTGTGAACAACAACGGGCCCAACACGGACCCCTGTGGAACACCCGCTTGTGACGTGCCCCCATTCTGACTTCTCCCCATATATGCAAACTCTTGCTGCCTATTTGTTCACCATGCCTCTACCCAGGAAAAAAATTTTCCTCCTATTCCGTGTGCCTCAAGTTTTATCAACAGCCTCTGATGTGGAACTCTATCAAAAGCCTTACTGAAGCCCACATACCCCAATATCATATTCAATACCCATGATCTACCTCCTCAAATACCTTTGTGAAGAAAGTTAGTAAAAATTTATAAGACAGGAATGCCCCTTTGTAAAACCGGGGCTGAGATTCATTAATCAATTTTTGCTTTCAAGATAGCACGAATTG